GATGCAGTTTGGCTGTCCCCTTTCTTTGGTCTCTCCTCCATAATGGAACAGCTGGAAGGCAGCTGTTGAAGGGCCATCCTTGGCCATCAATTAACCCAGGGCTCTTCCAACTTGGCCCTTTGATGACTTGTGGACTTCAACTCCCAGAATTCCTCAACCAGCGTGCCTGGCTGAGGAATTCTGGGAGTTGAAGTCCACAAGTCATCAAAGGGCCAAGTTGGAAGACCCCTGAATTAACCCAAGGATCTACGTTGCCTTCTGAATCTGACGGGAGCTTTGAATCCAGGCGCTGAACGGACTTCCCAGTGGTAAAGAGAGCCAGTCTCTGTTGTGGTTCAGGTGCTGGCCTAGAAAAGCAGGAGACGGTGAGCTCTAGTCCTGCTTAGGTAAGAAAACCAGCTGAGTGACTTTGGGCCAATCACCAGGAGATGGTGAGTTCTAGTCCCCCCTTAGCCAAAGTCCTAAGGTGATTTTGCGCCAATCACCAGGAGACGGTGAATTCTAGTCCCACCTTAGCCAGAAACATTCATAGTTTGGGAAGTTTGGTTTTTATCTCTTTATTCGGCCTTTGGCTGCTCTTTGTTGCAGGTGGGACTCTCCGGGCTATGTCTTTGAGGGCCCAGCACCCTCCTTGGAAACCCATAATCCTCTCTTACACCAGGCGTCCTTGACCTCCCACGTTGATGTGGGGCGTGTTGTGTTTCAAAGTGCTAAGAAAGATGCAGCGACGGCACAGTAGCATCACCGACAGCCTTCCACCTGAAAGGTAAGCCCGCCCTCATTCAGACAGGTGAGCTATGCCCCAGGAAGCACCTGTTGCAGCAGACAAGCCAGGTATTAAACCAGATCATCCATTACCATACCTGCTGGCTGGAGCATTCTGGGAGTTGAAATCCACAAGTCTTAAAATTGTCAAGTTTGGAGACCCCTGGATTAAGCTATAGCACATGTTAATATTCACAATAATACATCAAGGGCTGTCATTTAAAATATTAAGAACATAGATGGTTTTAATAACAGAATTGGAAGGGACCTTGGAGGTCTTCTAGTCCAACCCCCTGCTCAAGCAGGAGACCCTATACCAGGAGTCCCCAACCCCTGGTCCGTGGACCAGTACCGGGCCACAGCATGCCAGCAACCAGACCGCACAAAAAGCAAAGCCCCATCCGCGGGATGGGTTAATGGGGTTAATTGTTTTAACTGTCAGGAAGTTTCTCCTTAGTTCTAGGTTGCTTCTCTGTTTGATCAGTTTCCATCCGTTGCTTCTTGTCCGGCCTTCAGCTGCTTTGGAAAATAGCTTGACTCCCTCTTCTTTGGGGCAGCCCCTGAGATATTGGAAGACTGCTATCATGTCCCCCCTCGTCCTTCTCTTCATTAGACTAGACATACCCAATTCCAGCAACCGTTCCTTATATGGTTCAGCCTCCAGTCCCCTAATCATCTTTGTTGCTCTTCTCTGCACTCTTCCTAGAGTCTCAACATCTTGTTAACTTGGGACCCCAAGAGCCACTTCTATAAAACCTTGTTGCTTTCTTTATTCAGCTTAGAAGCCTCTTCAAACAATAGACATGTAACGTTCAGCACCAAGCAGATAAAATAAGTTAAAAAAGGGGGGTCATAGAAACACAACACAGGTAAATAGCAGGTGGAATAAATAGGATTAAAACCAGGTGACATTCACCCAGTATCGGGCCCTTTCGACAGGATTTTTGCATGTCTTGTTGCTAAAAACCCTTGTTATGTATAGATGGCAACCTGGCCTTGGAGGCTAGCTATAAAAATCTCGGTTTAGAAAGAGTGCCCAGGGAGGGCTTTGCATGCTTTGAGATATCTAGAGAGGAGGGCTCAGAGCCGCAGAAATCTTTGGGGAGAAGGCGAGAGTGGGGCCAATTCCCTTAATGCAAGTAGCAGCTCTAAACTTAGAAAGCTCCCGAGGGTTGACAATCCGGAGAGGTTTTGCCACATTGCCGAACGTTAGTAAAGTCCCTTTTCAACTCTTTTACTATAGGACATTCCTTTTGTGCCCACCGAATGTTTCTGTTCCATTAAGAGGATGGGCTTGCGCAGACAGTCCTTGATTTACAAGGACTTCTTTATGACAGCCTCTCAAATATTGGAACACAAACAGTTTGGAAAGAGAGAAAGAAAGAAAGAAAGAAAGAAAGGAAAAGAAAGAAGAAAGGAAAGGAAGGAAGGAAAGAAAGAAAGGAAAGGAGGAAAGAAAGGAAGGTAGGAAGGAAGGAAGAAAGAAAGAAAAAGAAAAAGAAAGAAAGGAAAAGAAAAGAAGAAGGGAAAGAAAAAAAAAGAAAGGAGGAAAGAAAGAAAGAAAGAAAAAACTATCAGGAAGTTTCTCCTTAGTTCTAGGTTGCTTCTCTCCTTGATGAGTTTCCATCCGTTGCTTCTTGTCCTGCCTTCGGGCGCTTTGGAGAATAGCTTGACTCCCTCTTCTTTGGGGCAGCCCTTCAAATATTGGAAGGCTGCTATGATGTCACCCCTAGTCCTCCTTTTCATTAGATTAGATGAAAAGGCTAGGGAACTGCAAAAGAAGACAAATATTAATATCACCAATGATACATTCTGTTTTCTTAGGAGAAAGGGAAGAGATACTGTGTTTCGGTATCGTTTTGGCAAGACTGTTTTCTCATTTAATTTGGTTTGCATCCCTGAATGGAATAAAGTATATAGCACAGTGTTGTTGTTATTGTTTTTCCAAATCTGGCAACTTTTAAGATGTGTAGACCTCAAACCCCAGAATTCCCCAGCCAGGCCCTGTGCTTTGTAAATCATACTAGAATAGAATAGAATAGAATAGAATAAGAGATTATAGAATAGAATAACAGGTAGAATAGAATAGAATAGAATAGAATAGAATAGAATAGAATAGCCTCCTCCAATATACACTGCATAAACATGACCAAAATAATAATAATAAATAGATTGTTTGAATAACTATCTACTTGTCTGGATGCACCACTCTCCAGAATATCCCATCGGTTTCTCCAACCAACCTGAACATATTTCTGAAGGGCAAGTTCTAGATGTAAGTCAAGGACTACCTGTACTGTTTCTCCCCCTCCTCACCCCCCCATGTCTTCCAGAAGCCGGAGCCAAGCCATCACCTCGGAGACCAGCGTGGACCAAGGGGGAGTTTTCGAAAGCCTGAAGACGGAAGCCCCCTCCCCTCCACCGCTCTTCTCGGGGCTGGGGGGAATCCCATCAGGCAGTATCTCGGCCACCCCTTTCCAGTCCAGTTTGCTCCTCGGGTCCTCAGCCGGAGGGGGTGAGGTCTTCATCCAGATGCCCGCCCCTCGGGAGGAGGGGCCAAGCCGGACAGAGGCGGGGCTCTATCACTACCGGCAACCGCATCATTACCATCACAGCCACCCGCGGGGGTCCTCCCTGCTGCATATGAGTGGCACTGACCGCCACGGGCATCCAGAAGAGACCCCCGATGACCAGCCTGGCACCCCGGCCCCGGCTCTTCCCGAGTTGAAGGTGGTCATCTCCTGGCTACAAGACGGCCTGCCGTTCATCGTCATCCTGCTGGCTAAACTTTGTTTCCAGCACAAAGTGGGTAAGGGGCTGAATTGAAGGAGAGAGGCGGGCCTTCCCAGAAGTGGTTTGCATGCATTTGGGTATATTTCACTCCCCCCTCTTTTTAAAAAAAATAAAACGGCATTGATTCTGTATTAGTATTTATTCACATTTATGGACTGCCCATCTCTGTCCTACTGAATAAAAACACTTGGTTAACCGACTAGGTACAACTGGGGGAGTGAGACGATATTCCAGGGGGGTGCAAAAAACTGGGGGTTAGAAATTTCCAAATTATAATGTACATGCGTAATTCATTGCCGTTATTTCGGACTTTTGCAAGGGGTGCGAGAGTATATCAGAAGCATTCTAGGGGTGTATAGAAAAGGTTGGGAACCGCTGAACTAGGAGATCAGCACCTTCTTGCACCAGTTATAGCAGTCTTCCAATATCTGAGGGGTTGCCCCAAAGAAGTAGTAGTCAAGCTATTCTCCAAAGCGCCTGAGGGCAGGACAAGAAGCAACGGATGGAAACTAATCAAGGAGAGAAGCAACCTGGAATTAAGGAGAAATTTCCCGACAGGGAGAAGAATTAGTCGGTGGAACGACTTGCCACCAGACGTTGTGGAGGTTTTTAAGAAAAGACCAGGGGGCCATTTTGTCCAAATTAATGTAGGGTCTTCTGTTTGAGCACGGAGTTGGACTAGAAGACCTTCAAAGTCCCTTCCGATTCTGTAATTCTTTTATTCTGTTATTCGGTTCTCATGTTCCTTTAAACTTGGAGGACGAAGGCGAGGCAAAATTCCATCCTGGTGCACGGGAACCGAAGGATCCCATCTGGAAGCGCAGAATGAAACGGCTGTTAGGGCCATTAATGTCCGATTGAGAGCTCTCTCTGTTTCCCTTACAGGAATTGCCCTCTGCCTGGGCATGGCCAGCACATTTGCCTATGCAAATTCAGCCCTTCGAGAACAAGTCTCTTTAAAGGTGGGTGCGGGCCACCATTCGGGAGATAAGAGGCCAAAACGGGCCTCTCGCGAGACAGACGGCATCATTTTGCTCCACCTGTAATGGAAAGACCTTGCCAGACAGGGTGAAGTTATGCCACCTGGGGCAGAGTGAGATAAGAGACGGCCTAGCCCACAGCTGTATAATGGCTGGAGAAACAGGCTGAGAAGGGACCCTCCCTAATTTCTCAAGCTGTTAAGGAGACGGAGGAGATTCTACTTGCAAGATTCACATTCACACACACACACATACGTGGGAATGACCATGAGAGTCAGGAGGACAAGGGGTGTTGCCTAAGGGATGGTCAGATAAGAGACGGCCTAGCCCACAGCTGCATAATGGGTGGAGAAAGACACTCAGACGGGACCCTCCCTAGTTTCTCAGGCTGTCAAGGAGACGGAGGAGATTGTACTTGCAAGATTCACATTCTCACCTGCACACAAACACACACACACACAGAGAGAAATACGTTGGTCGCTCTCACGGCTACTGAGTTTAGCTGAGATGTTAGAAGGTGGAGAGTCTCCCATTTTGGTCTTTCTTTCCTTCTAGGAAAAGAGATCCGTTTTCGTGATTTTCTGGATCTTGGTCTTCCTGGCAGGAAACACCCTGTATTTGCTCTACACCTTCAACTCCCAACAGCTGTATAACAGGTGAGTCCACAGCTTCCTCCTCTTCATCCAAGGCCAGGAGGTTAATTTATTTGTCCTGTCCTTTCCTGTCCTGTCCTATTAATTATCCCATCTTATCCTATTAATTATTCCATCCTATCCTATTAACTATCCTATCCTGTACTATCCTATCCTATCCTATCCTATCCTATCCTATCCTATCCTATACTATACTATACTATACTATACTATACTATACTATACTATACTATACTATACTATACAGCCTATCCTATTAATTATCCTATCCTATCCTATCCTATCCTATACTATACTATCCTATCCTATACTATCCTATACTATCCTATACTATACTATATAGCCTATACTATATAGCCTATACTATATAGCCTATACTATACTATACTATACTATACTATACTATACTATACTATACTATACTATACTATACTATACTATACTATACTATACTATATAGCCTATCCTATTAATTATCCCATCCTATCCTATTAATTGCCCTGCCCTGCCCTCCTTTGTCCTCCCCATCCTATCCTATGCTATGCTATGCTATCCTATCCTATCAATTATCCTATCCATTATCCAATTCTATCAATTATCACATCCTATTCTGTTAATTATCTTATTCGATCCATTACCCTATCCTATCTGCCACGAGAATACTTAATCCCAAACTATATTTATGGGTGCAGATTTTTAATCCATCAGATTATAAGAATTCCCACCCAAAAGCAGTAAAATGAAAGAGAAGAACTTCCCATTGAAATCTGAATTGCTACAAAGAAATAAAATCGGTTTCGTATCTCTTCCCTCCTTGCCCTCTGTCCTGTCCATCTTTTTGTAACCTCATAGATCTGATTGTGTTTTGTGTTTCCCTTCATTTACTGTCGTCTAACGTGCACTTCATTTTTTTTTTAACTAGCTCATTCATTTTGGCTTGTTTGGTTTTGTTTTTTAGGATTTAATTTTACCTGTAGTGCTGTGCCATATTGTGAGTACTTTGATTTTGGTTCTCCCTTCCCTCTGTTTTTTATTTTATTTTATGTTATCGTATCTCATATAAAATTGTGCTGTAACCAAATCTGAAACATCGTTCGAAGAGATGTAGACGTTTTTGTCTGCAGAAGATCAGATGTCAGTTGCTGCCCTTGAAAGTGACACAAATGGACTTGGTGTTTCTTGAGAAATAAAATGTTGGTTGTTTTTTTAATGCTCCTATTCCAGGTCCTTCCATGATTATGTTAACTTCATTTCAGATTTTGTCCCTTGATTGCTTTTATTCAGAATGGCCTTGCTGGAAAGATTTATTGCAATATTCAAGCAGGGATTTATTTCTGTGGCAATGTTTGAAGATATTATTTGATTTAGGAACACGGACACGTTTATCTTTATTTTATTGGCTTACTTAAGCTGCTTGTAGCTTCACAGTTGAGTTCCTCTCCTGTCCATCTTGCTGTTTTCCAGCCTCATTTTCCTGAAGCCCAATCTGGAGAAGCTGGATTTCTTTGACCTGATGTGGATGGTGGGCATCACAGATTTTGTCCTGAAGTATCTCACCATCGGTCTGAAGTGCCTGGTGGTGGCCCTGCCCAAAATCATCCTTGCGGTTAAATCGAAGGTAGTAGCGCTGTGATCTTGCTCTGCCGGGGTGGGGCGCTATTCTTTTGAAATATGTCTTAAAATGGGGAGGGGTTTTTTTGAGGCTTCCAGAATGATCCAGAAAGACAATAGCACGAGTTACTTAAAAATCACAGGGATGGTTTAACCACCTGGCAGAAAAGGTCAGTGATGACTCGCTCAAGAACAACCTTGCATAGCAACAAAAGTTCTGGTCCCCATTGTAGTCGTAAAACGAGGACTTCCTAGTTTATGCCTTGGTTTAGGTCTGGGTAGGTGGACCTCACGCCTCTGCTAAAAAGCAATGGCGCTCTAACCCTCTCCTTTCCCACAAATACAGGCAGTCCTCAAGTTACGACCACAGTGGAGCCCAACGTTTGCGTTGCTAAGTGAGACATTCGTTAAGTGAGTTTGGGCCCGTTTTTGTTAAGTGAGACATTTGTTAAGTGAGTTTGGCCCCGTTTTACGACTTTTCTTGCCGCTGCCGTTCAGGGAATCGCTCCAGCTAAGTGAGTAACATGGCCGTTAAGTGTGGAATATGGTCATAACTCACATTTTCAGCATCGTCGTAACTTTGAACGGTCACTAAGCAAACTGCTGTAAGTCAAGGACCACCTGTTGAGCTAAGGGATCCTAAGGCTTCATCAATCGACCGTTTTTCTTAATATGTTCACCTAACTCAGCCCTTGCACGGTTTCTATCAGTCTTGCTTGCTAGTAATTGTTTGGCAACACAACGGCGGAGTTGTGTTTCCATGGACAAAAAACGAGAGCGCTTGAGTCCCAAATCCCTGAATTCTCCTCCCGAGACCACCCCGGACCCTCCCCCGAGTCTTCCCAGTTTCTTTCCATTTTTCTGCTTTCCACCTTCGCCGGTGAACTTTGGTGATGAAGATAAATGGGGCTTCAATTAAAATCTCGGCTTGATTACTCTGCCAGGGCTGAAATTTCCATGATGGGGGTGGAAGGGACGCTAAGTAGGTGTTGCCTGGAATGGTTCGCCCCTGTTCTCCAGGGTGCTCAGAAGGACTATTAATTTCTCTCTGGCAGGGCTCCAAGGATATTTCTCTCCTTTTGATGATGATGATGATGGTGGTGGTGGTGGTGATTTTATTTGAGGAGATTAATGGGCTGGGGCACCAGATAATCCAGTGAAGGAGAGGGGAAAGGAAACGAGCGGATCAGCCATCATCATCGGCCCAAGACAAATGGCAAAGCTGGAAGGGGTTCACAGCCCTTGCTTGCTTGTCTATGAGCTGTCCCAGGTTCTCATTAATCCTTGTCCAACAGAAGAAAGAGGTTGCATCTGTATTTCCAACCACATCAGGGGGCTGGCGAGATTGCATCTGTCGAGGGGCCCCTAATAGCTCACAACACAGATGCTTCTTCAGAATGGCGTCTTCGGATTTGGGACGCTGGTCGCTCGCGAGTTGCAATTGTTTGGCCTTGTTTCATGTTGTGCACGCCCCTCTGTCTGTGTGTGTGTCTTTGCAAAGTTTGGTGGACGGGGCTTAACTCTGTGGACAGCGCAAAGATCTTCTCACAAGTTTGTGCATATCGTCCAAACAAATTTAAAACTCAGCGTAACTCTGCCGGCGCGTCCGTTAACCCAGGATATTGGTCAATGATCAGAGAACTGTGGCAAAGAGCCGTTCTTTGATGTGGTTGGCAGCTGGAATTGGGGCATCTTCTGCCACCCAACATGGACGTTCAGCCCCAGGGTAGACAAAGAGTAATAACATGACATTTATTTGTATCCCACCTTTATTATTTTTACAAATAGCTCAAGGCGGGGAACATATCCAACACACCTTCCTATTTTCCTCCTATTTTCTTCGCAACAACGACCCTGTGAGGTGGGTTGGGCTGAAAGAGAGTAATTGGCCCAAGGGCACACAGCTGGCTTTCATGACTAAAGGAGGTCTAGAATTCACCGTCTCCTGGTGACTGGCCCCAAGTCACCCAGTTGGCTTTCATGCCTAAGGCAGGACTAGAACTCACAGTCTCTCGGTGATTGGCCCAAAGTCATCCAGCTGGCTTTCAGGCCTAAGGCGGAACTAGAACTCACAGTCTCCTGGTGACTGGCCCAAAGATATCGGCTGGTTTTCAGGCCTAAGGTGGAACTAGAATTCACTGTCGCCTGGTGGTGCCCAAAGTCACCCAGCTGGCTGTCATCCTTAAGGCAGGACTAGAACTCACAGTCTGCTGGTGAATGGCCCAAAGTCACCCAACTGGCATTCATGCCTAAGGCAGGACTAGAACTCACGATCTCCTGGTGATTGGCCCCAAGTCATCCAACTGGCTTTCATGGCGAAGGCGGGACTAGAACTCACCGTCTCCTGGTGGACTGGCCCAAAGTCACCCAGCCGGCTTTGATGCCTAAGGCAGGACTAGAACTCACCGTCTCCTGGTTCCTAAGCTAGCCCCTAAACCCCCACAGCAAACTAGCTCTGGAGAAGCCTTTGAAGTCTTCTCGACTGAGGAAGGTGCGAGAACCCCACAACTCTCAACGAGAAATGTGTCAAAGCATTTTTAAAAATTGAACGCGCCTGTTTGGAAAGCAAACCCAGAAGTCATTGTCAGCCTGGCAGTAGCGGGAAGTTGCTGCTGTATGTTTCGTGAATATTTAGCAAAGTGATTCTGGAACTGGGGGAGTGAGAAATCCAGGCATCTGGCAGTTCCTAAATTCCCACTACTAAGAGCATGCCTTTCCTCTCTCCCCCCCCCACCCCACTCCCCTTCCTCCTCCTTGCTTCACACCCCTCAAGCTGTCACTTCTTAGCCGAGCAAATGAAATTCTGTCATTTGCCGGGTGGAGAACAATAGGTCCCTCCGGCAGCCACATGGCTCGGGCTGTTTTAATTTACTTTAATTCATTTTCAATGGAAGCAAAACGGCGTTTGTTTTTAATCGGGAGGAGGGGGGGCGTTCAACTTTGGAGAGGGGGGCCATCGCCTTCCCCCCTCCCCAGGAACAGAAGGACACACCTGCTTTGTGCCACTTCCTCACAAGTTTCCTGGATGCTCTTCAGCTTCCTGCTTTAGAACGAAGGGAAAACTCACTCGTCGTCGCCCTAGTCTGCATTTCTAAGAGGCACACAAGAGAACATTTGGCAGGGCCCTGCGTAACACAGCCGTCGTGAATTTGGGGAGGGGGGGTTTGATAGATCAGGACGGTCTCGGTGGGGTCTGTTCAAAAGGAGCGGCTGCCTTTTTTGCAATGGGCTAAAAACGCTTTGTCTGAGTTGGGGGGGGGCATCTCTTGGGCTTTTGTGTGAACTCGGTCATTGTGGTTTGCAGTGCTGATGCTGTTGACAGACAAACAGGAATCTTGTGGTTTATTGATTGGACCCCGATTGGGCCAGGTGTGGCCATTGTGATAGATGCATTTGGGGACTCGGTTCTTCCTTGGTGGTGCTTTCCCTTCCGAGGTGGCTCCCTCTTTGCGAGTTGGATTCTTGAGTCAGTTGCGTTCGGTTCTTGAGCACTGATGATGTTACCTAGTTGGGTCATGAAACATCCGCAGGAAAAACACCCAGCTCAGAGAGCACCAAGGACCCCACAGTCCTCCTCCTCCTCCTCCTCCTCCTCTCCACAAACCCCACTCCCTTCAAGCACTGATGATGTTATCCAGTTGGGTCATGAAACGTCCGCAGGCAAACCACCCAGCTCGGAGAGCACCAAGGACCTCACAGTCCTCCTCCTCCTCCTCCTCCTCCTCCTCCTCCTCCTCCNGATGCAGTTTGGCTGTCCCCTTTCTTTGGTCTCTCCTCCATAATGGAACAGCTGGAAGGCAGCTGTTGAAGGGCCATCCTTGGCCATCAATTAACCCAGGGCTCTTCCAACTTGGCCCTTTGATGACTTGTGGACTTCAACTCCCAGAATTCCTCAACCAGCGTGCCTGGCTGAGGAATTCTGGGAGTTGAAGTCCACAGGTCATCAAAGGGCCAAGTTGGAAGAGCCCTGAATTAACCCAAGGATCTACGTTGCCTTCTGAATCTGACGGGAGCTTTGAATCCAGGCGCTGAACGGACTTCCCAGTGGTAAAGAGAGCCAGTCTCTGTTGTGGTTCAGGTGCTGGCCTAGAAAACCAGGAGACGGTGAGCTCTAGTCCTGCTTAGGTAAGAAAACCAGCTGAGTGACTTTGGGCCAATCGCCAGGAGATGGTGAGTTCTAGTCCCCCCTTAGCCAAAGTCCTAAGGTGACTTTGGGCCAATCGCCAGGAGACGGTGAATTCTAGTCCCACCTTAGCCAATTCCTAAGGTGACTTTGGGCCAATCACTAGGAGACGGTGAGTTCTAGTCCCACCTTAGCCAGAAACATTCATAGTTTGGGAAGTTTGATTTTTATCCCTTGATTCATGCTGCGGCCTTTGGCTGCTCTTTGTTGCAGGTGGGACTCTCCGGGCTATGTCTTTGAGGGCCCAGCACCCTCCTTGGAAACCCATAATCCTCTCTTACACCAGGCGTCCTTGACCTCCCACGTTGATGTGGGGTGTGTTGTGTTTCAAAGTGCTAAGAAAGATGCAGCGACGGCACAGTAGCATCACCGACAGCCTTCCACCTGAAAGGTAAGCCCGCCCTCATTCATACAGGTGAGCTATGCCCCAGGAAGCACCTGTTGCAGCAGACAAGCCAGGCATTAAACCAGATCATCCATTACCATACCTGCTGGCTGGAGCATTCTGGGAGTTGAAGTCCACAAGTCTTAAAATTGTCAAGTTTGGAGACCCCTGGATTAAGCTATAGCACATGTTAATATTCACAATAATACATCAAGGGCTGTCGTTCAAAATATTAAGAACATAGATGATTTTAATAACAGAATTGGAAGGGACCTTGGAGGTCTTCTAGTCCAACCCCCTGCTCAAGCAGGAGACCCTATACCAGGAGTCCCCAACCCCTGGTCTGTAGACCAGTACCAGGCCACGGCATGCCAGCAACCGGTCCGCACAAACAAGCAAAGCCCCATCCGCGGGATGGGTTAATGGGGTTAATTGTTTTAACTGTCAGGAAGTTTCTCCTTAGTTCTAGGTTGCTTCTCTCCTTCATTAGTTTCCACCCGTTGCTTCTTGTCCTGCCTCCAGCTGCTCTGGAAAATAGCTTGACTCCCTCTTCTTTGAGGCAGCCCCTGAGATACTGGAACACTGTTATCATGTCCCCCCTCGTCCTTCTCTTTGTTAAACTAGACATACCCAATTCCAGCAACCGTTCCTTATATGCTTTAGCCTCCAGTCCCCTAATCATCTTTGTTGCTCTTCTCTGGACTCTTTCTAGAGTCTCAGCATCTTGTTAACTCAGGACCCCAAGAGCCACTTCTATAAAACCTTGTTGCTTTCTTTATTCAGCTTAGAAGCCTCTTCAAACAATAGACATGTAACGTTCAGCACCAAGCAGATAAAATAAGTTAATAGACATGTAACGTTCAGCACCAAGCAGATAAAATAAGTTAAAAAAGGGGGGGTCATAGAAACACAACACAGGTAAATAGCAGGTGGAATAAATAGGATTAAAACCAGGTGACATTCACCCAGTATCGGGCCCTTTCGACAGGATTTTTGCATGTCTTGTTGCTAAAAACCCTTGTTATGTATAGATGGCAACCTGGCCTTGGAGGCTAGCTATAAAAATCTCGGTTTAGATAGAGGTGTCCAGGGAGGGCTTTGCATGCTTTGAGATATCTAGAGAGGAGGGCTTAGAGCCGCGGAAATCTTTGGGGAGAAGGCGAGAGTGGGGCCAATTCCCTTAATGCAAGTAGCAGCTCTAAACTTAGAAAGCTTCCGAGGGTTGACAATCCGGAGAGGTTTTGCCACATTGCCGAACGTTAGTAAAGTCCCTTTTCAACTCTTTTACTATAGGACATTCCTTTTGTGCCCACCGAATGTTTCTGTTCCATTAAGAGGATGGGCTTGCGCAGACAGTCCTTGATTTACAAGGACTTCTTTATGACAGCCTCTCAAATATTGGAACACAAACAGTTTGGAAAGAGAAAGAAAGGAAGGAAGGAAGGAAGGAAGGAAGGAAGAGAAAGAAAGAAAAGAAAAGAAAAGAAAAGAAAAAAGAAAAGAAAAGAAAAGAAGAAAGGAAAGGAAAGGAAAGGAAGGAAAGAAAGAAAGAAAGGAAAGGAGGAAAGAGGAAGGTAGGAAGGAAGGAAGAAAAAGAAAGGAAGGAAAGAAAGAAAAAAGGAAAGGAGGAAAGAAAGAAAGAAAAGAAAAAAAGAAAAAACTGCCAGGAAATTCCTCCTAAGTTCCAGGTTGCTTCTCTCCTTGTTTAGTTTCCATCCGTTGCTTCTTGTCCTGCCTTCAGGCGCTTTGGAGAATAGCTTGACTCCCTCTTCTTTGGGGCAGCCCCTGAGATATTGGAACACTGCTATCATTAGATTAGATGAAAAGGCTAGGAAACTGCAAAAGAAGACAAATATTAATATCACCAATGATACATTCTGTTTTCTTAGGAGAAAGGGAAGAGATACTGTGTTTCGGTATCGTTTTGGCAAGACTGTTTTCTCATTTAATTTGGTTTGCATCCCGGAACGGAATAAAGTATAAAGCACAGTGTTGTTGTTGTTTTTCCAAATCTGGCAACTTTTAAGATGTGTAGACCTCAAACCCCAGAATTCCCCAGCCAGACACTGTGCTTTGTAAATCATATTAGAATAGAATAGAATAGAATGGAATAGAATAGAATAGAATAGAATAGAATAGAATAGAATAGAATAGAATAGAATAGAATAGAATAGAATAGAATAGAATAGAATAGAATAGAATAGAATAAGAGATTATAGAATAGAATAGAATAACAGATAGAATAGAATAGAATAGAATAGAATAGAATAGAATAGAATAGAATAGAATAACCCCCTCCAATATACACTGCATAAACATGACCAAAATAATAATAATAAATAGATTGTTTGAATAACTATCTACTTGTCTGGATGCACCACTCTCCAGAATATCCCACTGGTTTCTCCAACCAACCTGAACATATTTCTGAAGGGCAAGTTATAGATGTAAGTCAAGGACCACCTGTACTGTTTCTCCCCCCCTCGCCCCCCATGTTTTTCAGAAGCCGGAGCCAAGCCATCACCTCGGACACCAGCGTGGACCAAGGGGGAGTTTTCGAAAGCCTGAAGACAGAAGCCCCCTCCCCTCCACCGCTCTTCTCAGGGCTGGGGGGAATCCCATCAGGCAGTATCTCGGCCACCCCTTTCCAGTCCAGTTTGCTCCTCGGGTCCTCAGCCGGAGGGGGCGAGGTCTTCATCCAGATGCCCGCCCCTCGGGAGGAGGGGCCAAGCCGGACAGAGGCGGGGCTCTATCACTACCGGCAACCGCATCATTACCATCACAGCCACCCGCGGGGGTCCTCCCTGCTGCATATGAGTGGCACTGACCGCCACGGGCATCCAGAAGAGACCCCCGATGACCAGCCTGGCACCCCGGCCCCGGCTCTTCCCGAGTTGAAGGTGGTCATCTCCTGGCTACAAGACGGCCTGCCGTTCATCGTCATCCTGCTGGCTAAACTTTGTTTCCAGCACAAAGTGGGTAAGGGGCTGAATTGAAGGAGAGAGGCGGGCCTTCCCAGAAGTGGTTTGCATGCATTTGGGTATATTTCACTCCCCCCTCTTTTTTTAAAAAATAAAACGTCATTGATTCTGTATTAGTATTTATTCACATTTATGGACTGCCCATCTCTGTCCTACTGAATAAAAACACTTGGTTAACCGACTAGGTACAGGGGTTCCCAACTGGGGGAGCGAGACGATATTCCAGGGGGGTGCGAAAACCTGGGGGTTAGAAATTTCCAAATTATAGTGTACATGCGTAATTCATTGCCGTTATTTCGGACTTTCGCAAGGGGTTGCGAGAATATATCAGAAGCATTCTAGGGGTGTATAGAAAAGATTGGGAACCGCTGAACTAGGAGTGCACCAGTTATAGCAGTCTTCCAATATCTGAGGGGTTGCCCCAAAGAAGAAGTAGTCAAGCTATTCTCTAAAGCACTTGAGGGCAGGACAAGAAGCAATGGATGGAAACTAATCAAGGAGAGAAGCAACCTGGAATTAAGGAGAATTAAGGAGAAGAATTAGTCAGTGGAACGACTTGCCACCAGACGTTGTGGACGCTCCATCACTGGAGGTTTTTAAGAAAAGACCAGGGGGCCATTTTGTCCAAATTAATGTAGGGTCTTCTGTTTGAGCACGGAGTTGGACTAGAAGACCTTCAAAGTCCCTTCCGATTCTGTAATTCTTTTATTCTGTTATTCGGTTCTCATGTTCCTTTGAACCTGGAGCCGAAGGATCCCATCTGGAAGCGCAGAATGAAACGGCTGTTAGGGCCATTAATGTCCGATTGAGAGCATTCTCTGTTTCCCTTACAGGAATTGCCCTCTGCCTGGGCATGGCCAGCACATTTGCCTATGCAAATTCAGCCCTTCGAGAACAAGTCTCTTTAAAGGTGGGTGCGGGCCACCATTCGGGAGAGAAGAGGCCGAAACGGGCCTCTCGCGAGACAGACGGCATCATTTTGCTCCACCTGTAATGGAAAGACCTTGCCAGACAGGGTGAAGTTATGCCACCTGGGGCAGAGTGAGATAAGAGACGGCACAGCCCACAGCTGTATAATGGCTGGAGAAACAGGCTGAGAAGGGACCCTCCCTAGATTCTCAGACTGTAAAGGAGATGGAGGAGATTCTGCTTGCAAGATTCACATTCACACACACACACATACACATACGTGGGAATGACCGTGAGACTCAGGAGGACAAGGGATGTTGCCTAGGGGATGGTCAGATAAGAGACGGCACAGCCCACAGCTGTATAATGGGTGGAGAAAAACACTCAGAAGGGACCCTCCCTAGTTTCTCAGGCTGTCAAGGAGACGGAGGAGATTGTACTTGCAAGATTCACATTCTCACCTGCACACAAACACACACACACACACAGAGAAATACGTTGGTCGCTCTCATGGCTACTGAGTTTAGCTGAGATGTTAGAAGGTGGAGAGTCTCCCAGTTTGGTCTTTCTTTCCTTCTAGGAAAAGAGATCCGTTTTCGTGATTTTCTGGATCTTGGTCTTCCTGGCAGGAAACACCCTGTATTTGCTCTACACCTTCAACTCCCAACAGCTGTATAACAGGTGAGTCCACAGCTTCCTCCTCTTCATCCAAGGCCAGGAGGTTAATTTATTTGTCCTCTCCTTTCCTGTCCTGTCCTATTAATTATCCCATCTTATCCTATTAATTATTCCATCCTATCCTATTAACTATCCTATCCTGTACTATCCTATCCTATCCTGTACTATACTATACTATACTGTACTGTACTGTACTGTACTGTACTGTACCGTACCGTACCGTACCATCCTATCCTATCCTATCCTATACTATACTATACTATCCTATCCTATCCTATCCTATACTATACTATACTATACTATACTATACTATTAATTATCCTATACTAACTTATCCTATCCTATTCTATCCTATCCTATCCTATACTATACTATACTATCTAGCCTATCCTATTAATTATCATATACTAACTTATCCTATCCTATCCTATCCTATCCTATCCTATCCTATCCTATACTATACTATACTATACTATACTATACTATACTATACTATACTATACTATACTATACTATACTCTCTAGCCTATCCTATTAATTATCCCATCCTATCCTGTCCTGTCCTATCCTATGCTATGCTATGCTATGCTATATAGCCTATCCTATTAATTATCCCATCCTATCCTATTAATTGCCCTGCCCTGCCCTCCTTTGTCCTCCCCTCCCCATCCTATCCTATGCTATTATCCTATGCTATCCTATGCTATGCTATGCTATGCTATCCTATCCTATCAATTATCCTATCCTATCAATTATCCTATCCATTATCCAATTCTATCAATTATCACATCCTATTCTATTAATTATCTTATTCAATCCATTACCCTATTCTATCTGCCACGAGAATACTTAATCCCAAACTATATTTATGGGTGCAGATTTTTAATCCACCGGATTATAAGAATTCCCACCCAAAAGCAGTAAAATGAAAGAGACGAACTTCCCATTGAAATCTGAATTGCTACAAAGAAATAAAATTGGTTTCATATCTCTTCCCTCCTTGCCCTCTGTCCTGTCTATCTTTTTGTAACCTCATAGATCTGATTGTGTTTTGCGTTTTCCTTCATTTACTGTCGTCTAATGTGGACTTCATTTTTTTTTTAACTAGCTCATTCATTTTGGCTTGTTTGGTTTTGTTTTTTAGGATTTAATTTTACCTGTAGTGCTGTGCCATATTGTGAGTACTTTGATTTTGGTTCTCCCTTCCCTCTGTTTTTTATTTTATTTTATGTTATCGCATCTCATATAAAATTGTGCTGTAACCAAATCTGAAACATCGTTCGAAGAGATGTAGACGTTTTTGTCTGCAGAAGATCAGATGTCAGTTGCTGCCCTTGAAAGTGACACAAATGGACTTGGTGTTTCTTGAGAAATAAAATGTTGGTTTTTTTTTTTTAATGCTCCTGTTGCAGGTCCTTCCATGATTAACTTCATTTCAGATTTTGTCCCTTGTTTGCTTTTATTCAGAATGGCCTTGCTGGAAAGATTTATTGCAATATTCAAGCAGGGATTTATTTCTGTGGCAGTGTTTGAAAATATTATTTGATTTAGGAACATGAACACGTTTATCTTTATTTTATTGGCTTACTTAAGCTGCTTGTAGCTTCACAGTTGAGTTCCTCTCCTGTCCATCTTGCTGTTTTCCAGCCTCATTTTCCTGAAGCCCAATCTGGAGAAGCTGGATTTCTTTGACCTGATGTGGATGGTGGGCATCACAGATTTTGTCCTGAAGTATCTCACCATCGGTCTGAAGTGCCTGGTGGTGGCCCTGCCCAAAATCATCCTTGCGGTTAAATCGAAGGTAGTAGCGCTGTGATCTTGCTCTGCCGGGCGTGGGGCGCTATTCTTTTAAAATATGTCTTAAAATGGGGAGGGTTTTTTTGAGGCTTCCAGAATGATCCAGAAAGACAATAGCACGAGTTACTTAAAAATCACAGGGATGGTTTAACCACCTGGCAGAAAAGGTCAGCGATGACTCGCTCAAGAACAACCTTGCATAGCAACAAAAGTTCTGGTCCCCATTGTAGTCGTAAAACGAGGACTTCCTAGTTTATGCCTTGGTTTAGGTCTGGGTAGGTGGACCTCACGCCTCTGCTAAAAAGCAACGGCGCTCTAACCCTCTCCTTTCCCACAAATACAGGTAGTCCTCAAGTTACGACCACAGTGGAGCCCAATATTTGCATTGCTAAGTGAGAAATTCGTTAAGTGAGTTTGGGCCCATTTCTGTTAAGTGAGACATTTGTTAAGTGAGTTTGGCCCCGTTTTACGACTTTTCTTGCCGCTGCCGTTCAGGGAATCGCTCCAACTGAGTAACACGGCCGTTAAGTGTGGAATATGGTCATAACTCACATTTTCAGCATCGTCGTAACTTTGAACGGTCACTAAGCAAACTGCTGTAAGTCAAGGACCACCTGTTGAGCTAAGGGATCCTAAGGCTTCATCAATCGACCGTTTTTCTTAATATGTTCACCTAACTCAGCCCTTGAACGGTTTCTATCAGTCTTGCTTGCTAGTAATTGGCAACACAATGGCGGAGTTGTGTTTTCATGGACAAAAAACGAGAGCGCTTGAGTCCCAAATCCCTGAATTCTCCTCCCGAGACCACCCAGGACCCTCCCCCGAGTCTTCCCAGTTTCTTTCCATTTTTCTGCTTTCCACCTTCGCCGGTGAACTTTGGTGATGAAGATAAATGGGGCTTCAATTAAAATCTCGGCTTGATTACTCTGCCAGGGCTGAAATTTCCATGATGGGGATGGAAGGGACGCTAAGTAGGTGTTGCCTGGAATGGTTCGCCCCTGTTCTCCAGGGTGCTCAGAAGGACTATTAATTTCTCTCTGGCAGGGCTCCAAGGATATTTCTCTCCTTTTGATGATGATGATGATGGTGGTGGTGGTGGTGATTTTATTTGAGGAGATTAATGGGCTGGGGCACCAGATAATCCAGTGAAGGAGAGGGGAAAGGAAACGAGCGGATCAGCCATCATCATCGGCCCAAGACAAATGGCAAAGCTGGAAGAGGTTCACAGCCCTTGCTTGCTTGTCTATGAGCTGTCCCAGGTTCTCATTAATCCTTGTCCAACAGAAGAAAGAGGTTGCATCTGTATTTCCAACCACATCAGGGGGCTGGCGAGATTGCATCTGTCGAGGGGCCCCTAATAGCTCACAGCACAGATGCTTCTTCAGAATGGCGTCTTCTGATTTGGGACGCTGGTCGCTCGCGAGTTGCAATTGTTTGGCCTTGTTTCATGTTGTGCACGCCCCTCTGTCTGTGTGTGTGTCTTTGCAAAGTTTGGTGGACGGGGCTTAGCCCTGTGGACAGCGCAAAGATCTTCTCACAAGTTTGTGCATATCGTCCAAACAAATTTAAAACTCAGCGTAACTCTGCTGGCGCGTCTGTTAACCCAGGATATTGGTCAATGATCAGAGAACTGTGGCAAAGAGCCGTTCTTTGATGTGGTTGGCAGCTGGAATTGGGGCATCTTCTGCCGCCCAACATGGACGTTCAGCCCCAGGGTAGACAAAGAGTAATAATATGACATTTATTTGTATCCCACCTTTATTATTTTTACAAATAGCTCAAGGCAGGGAACATATCCAACACACCTTCCTATTTTCCTCCTATTTTCTTCGCAACAACGACCCTGTGAGGTGGGTTGGGCTGAGAGAGAGTAATTGGCCCAAGGGCACACAGCTGGCTTTCATGACTAAAGGAGGTCTAGAACTCACCGTCTCCTGGTGATTGGCCCCAAGTCACCCAGATGGCTTTCATGCCTAAGGTGGAACTAGAACTCACAGTCTCCTGGTGATTGGCCCAAAGGTATCGGCTGGTTTTCAGGCCTAAGGTGGAATTAGAATTCACTGTCTCCTGGTGGTGCCCAAAGTCACCCAGCTGGCTGTCATCCTTAAGGCAGGACTAGAACTCACCGTCTGCTGGTGATTGGCCCAAAGTCACCCAACTGGCTTTCATGGCGAAGGCGGGACTAGAACCTACCGTCTCCTGGTGGACTGGCCCAAAGTCACCCAGCCGGCTTTCATGCCTAAGGCAGGACTAGAACTCACCCTCTCCTGGTTCCTAAGCTAGCCCCTAAACCCCCCCAGCAAACTAGCTCTGGAGAAGCCTTTGAAGTCTTCTCCACTGAGGAAGGTGCGAGAACCCCACAACTCTCAACGAGAAATGTGTCAAAGCATTTTTAAAAATTGAACGCGCCTGTTTGGAAAGCAAACCCAGAAGTCATTGTCAGCCTGGCAGTAGCGGGAAGTTGCTGCTGTATGTTTCGTGAATATTTAGCAAAGTGATTCTGGAACTGGGGGAGTGAGAAATCCAGGCATCTGGCAGTTCCTAAATTCCCACTACTAAGAGCATGCCTTTCCTCTCTCCCCCCCCCCCACCCCACTCCCCTTCCTCCTCCTTGCTTCACACCCCTCAAGCTGTCACTTCTTAGCCGAGCAAATGAAATTCTGTCATTTGCCGGGTGGAGAACAATAGGTCCCTCCGGCAGCCACATGGCTCGGGCTGTTTTAATTTACTTTAATTCATTTTCAATGGAAGCAAAACGGCGTTTGTTTTTAATCGGGGGGAGGGGGGCGTTCAACTTTGGAGAGGGGGGCCGTCGCCTTCCCCCCTCCCCAGGAACAGAAGGACACACCTGCTTTGTGCCACTTCCTCACAAGTTTCCTGGATGCTCTTCAGCTTCCTGCTGTAGAACGAAGGGAAAACTCACTCGTTGTCCGCCCTAGTCTGCATTTCTAAGAGGCACACAAGAGAACGTTTGGCAGGGCCCTGCGTAACACAGCCGTCGTGAATTTGGGGAGGGGGGGTTTGATAGATCAGGCCAGTCTCGGTGGGGTCTGTTCAAAAGGAGCGGCTGCCTTTTTTGCAATGGGCTAAAAATGCTTTGTCTGAGTTGGGGGGGGCATCTCTTGGGCTTTTGTGTGAACTCGGTCATTGTGGTTTGCAGTGCTGATGCTGTTGACAGACAAACAGGAATCTTGTGGTTTATTGATTGGACCCTGATTGGGCCAGGTGTGGCCATTGTGATAGATGCATTTGGGGACTCAGTTCTTCCTTGGTGTGCTTTCCCTTCCGAGGTGGCTCCCTCTTTGCGAGTTGGATTCTTGAGTCAGTTGCGTTCGGTTCTTGAGCACTGATGATGTTACCTAGTTGGGTCATGAAACGTCCGCAGGAAAAACACCCAGCTCAGAGAGCACCAAGGACCCCAGAATCCTCCTCCTCCTCCTCTTCTCCTCCTCTCCACAAACCCCACTCCCTTCAAGCACTGATGATGTTACCTAGTTGGGTCATGAAACGTCTGCAAGAAAACCACCCAGCTCGGAGAGCACCAAGGACCCCACAGTCCTCCTCCTCTTCCTGCTCCTCCTGCTCCTCTTCCTCCTCTCCACCAACCCCGCTCCCTTCTACCACTGATGATGTTACCTAGTTTGGCTAACGAAACGTCTGCAGGAAAAACCGCCAAGTTCAGAGAGCACCCAGGACCTCCCATGGATTCCTGAGTATTTGTAGTATCCAGAGAGGAAGTTTCCAAAGTGGGGGGGAAAAAAGGGGCCACAGAACACACCATCACCGGGAGCAGCACTTCGGTTGCTTTTAGGGAGTCAGCTCAGAAACACAGTCAAGAGAAATTCAAAAGGAATTCTCCAGCTGCCTGAGAATAAAGTGGAAAAACAGAAGCCTTCCCCCCCTCCCCCCCGGGAAGGAAACTTCTGAGAACCTGCAAAAGCTCCTCAAGAGAAATAGCGCCTGTCAACACCCTTGTGTTGTGAGGGGACTGGTCCCCCTGCCATCCTATGCCTGGCCCAACGGAGGGTCTGTCTGCCTTTCCAATTTTACCCTGCTCTGTGGGTACCAATCTTGTCGAATTCATGAGACTGCTGAGCTGCAGCAGGTCCTGTCGCAGAAAAGAGACCCTCCCCAATTGCAAAATCCCAACCAGCTGGGTGGGTCGGGGGCTTCTGCTCCCGGGGAAGAGGAAAAACCTCACACACACACCCCGTCTGCCTTTAACTTCGAGGTTGCTCCGAAGCCTCCACGTTAATCTGCTAAGTGGCCTCGCCCTGGGACTCCTCTCGGTTGCCACTGCAGATATGTGGCGCTACGTCCCCCGAGGTCTCTGCGGCTCGGCTCGGCTTTGGAGCAGGCATCCTGGCGTGACTTCACTCCGCGTTCCCCCAGGATATGAGATCATGAGAATGCCGAAATTCTCTCTGGGCTTCAGTGCGTTCAGCGGGCAAGAACAGCCTCCGAGTGATCTCATCCGGGCGGGGAGGACCGAGGGTGCCCCCCCCCCCTTTGTCCTCTTTGACCGTCCCGGGCAACGACGAGAAGAGGACCGGGGATTCCCAGAGAGAGAGAGAGAGAGCAGAAGGGGGAGGGTCAAGGATGACCAAAGAACGACCTGACGATATAAATAAAAGATCGGAGTTTGTCGAAAGAGGCCCTAGGACTGGAAATAATTTGGCTCCGACTTCAACGGTCCATTGCGGGCCAAGGAGAACATCAAGACGATCTGATGCCCTCGTTTTTAAGGAGAGTCACAACAGTTGTTAAGTTAGCAGCAGGGTTGTTCATCTGACTTTCCCCTTGACTTTAATTGTCAGAAGGCTCCCAAAGGGGATGGCGTGACTCCCGGGGACACTGCGACGGTCATAAATACGAGTCAGAGGCCAAGCGCCTGAATTTTAATCATGAGGATGCTGCGCTGGTCATAAGTGCGCAAAGCGATTGTAAGTCACTTTTCCCTGGGCCGTTGTAAGTGTGAACGGTCACTAAACAAACAGTCGTCAAGTCGAGGACTCCCGTACTAGGAAAAGCTCCCCCCCCTCCGATTGCTCTGCTGGGTAGCCAGGACAGAGGGCGAGGGAGGCCACGTTCCTCTTAAGCGGGACAAGCGAAAGGGCAGCAATTCCCCAGACAGGAAGATATGACGACTTTATTTTCAAATTGTCCTTCTTTTCCCAAAGGGGCAGCCGAGCAGAAGGTAAACACTGATCAAAATTGCTTTGCAGCTCCCCGGAGACAGAGAGGGCTGAGTTCAGCCAAGCAGCCTCTGGTTGGAACAGTTTGACGTCCTGAATTTCCTCAAGCGGCATCTTGAGTTTTGGAGGGTCCCTTCTGAGCCAGACAAACAACAACAGGGAGAAACCAAACGAGGAGACACGCTCGCTTTCCTTAAAAAACAAACAAACATCTTGACCTGTTTCTGGGTGACGGAAGCCCTTCAGGCATTATTGTGCGTGACTTTGGAAGAAGTCTGGCCCACAGAAGCTGCCGAGCCAAGGCAAAAGTGGAAGAGAAACTTGACTTTCTGTCTGTTTAGAAAACAGGAGTTTCGTCGTACGGAGAAGCATCAAACCTTGGGTGTCCAACCTTGGCTATTTTAAGGCTGGTGGACCTCAACTGCCAGAATTCCTCAGCCAGCATTTCCCCAGCCTTTACCTATTATTATGAAACCTGTATGAGCGCGGTATGCACAGACGCACAGGGTCTGTCAAGGTTGGAGAAGCTACTGTGTCATGGCTGAGTTTAGCCAATTGGAGGCTGGCTGGGGAATTCTGGGAGCCGAAATCCACAGGTCTTAAAAGTTGCCAAGATTGGACACCATGCAGCCTTGGTTTACGGATGGAGCCAAAGAGAGAAATAATACTTAGAGGAGACTGGAATGTTGGACGCCTTGTGTAATTTACAATTTACATAATATAATTTAGTATAATTTATTCTTGCTCTTTGGCACGGTATGTTTCCCCCCTTGGTGCTTTTTCATGTTTAGTTCCCTTGAATGAATTTTTTTTACTTCCATTCAGTCGTGTCTGATTCTCAGAGACAGCCTGGAGAAGACCCTGCTGTTTGCTAGGCAAGGTTTTTTCAGAAGTAGTTAGACATTGCCTCCTTCCTAGGGCTGGGAAAGAGGCTTGGCCCAAGGTCACCGAGCTGGATTTGTGCTCAAGGCAGGACTAGAATTCACAATCTCCCGGTTTCTTGCTTCATAACTTAAAGTTCTTGATAGTTTTGCTGTTTTTGCAACCGATTTAAAACTTGATGTTGTTGGAGAAAGTTGACTTATCAATGATGAATTGGACGATGCATCTACTGGTTGATCATTGTGTAACTAAGTGAGGCTCCTGAGATATTTAAGGGCTCCTCAGAATAAGACCTACTGTGTTCCTTGGGCTGGATTCTCTTGCAAAAGGGAGCAGAACTGCATCTGATGCCTCCTCTCCAACTCCTGGTTTCTCCTCCTCTCTCTTGCAGGGGAAGTTCTACCTGGTCATTGAAGAAATAAGCCAGTTGTTCCGTTCCCTGGTCCCCATCCAGCTGTGGTATAAGTACATCATGGGGGATGATCCATCCAGCAGCTATTTCCTTGGGGGAAGTCTCATCATCATGTACAGCCTCTGCAAAGTAAGGGGTCACTCGGAATGCCTGTGGAGATTCTCCGTCCTCCAGGTCATGGTTGTCCCAAAGGTGCTTCTTCAAAAGTCAATTGGACTTTGTTTTTCCTTGAAGATGTTTCGCTTCTCATCCAAGAAGCTTCTTCTGTTCTGGCTGACCCTAAGCCTGGGTTCTTTAGTCAGAACTGAAGAAGCTTCTTGGGTGGGAAGAGAAACATCTTCAAGGAAAAACAAAGTCCAGTGGCCTGTTGAAAAAGCACCTTTGGTTGCTCTGACGTTGTGCTGCCATACTTTCCCCCCAAAACTTGTCCTCCTCTTAAACAGCCATACTTGTTGTCCTTCTGTCATTTAGACTCCAACAACAGGACACTTATTTTTCTTAACCCAAAGATCTAAACAAAAGTTTTGGAGATGGGACATAACTTGTGCTTCTCCAAAAGAGGACGGGCAGGCCTTTAACTTTTGAAATAAGAAGGGCCCAAAGGTGATGTTTTCTGGGTGTCCACCATCCTACCGGGACCAGAGGGTTTTGTCTTCCAAGCTTTTTCGACTCGTGCTGGAGCCCATCTTTGGGGAACTTCTCTCTAGCAGGGTGTGTGCTGTTCTGTGTGCGGTATTGATACTGCCCGTTGTAAGTGGCTAAATCTACTGAATCCCCTGCACGGATTACCCCTGTGACTATGTAGGACAGACAGGGAGGAACTAACCATCAGACTGCAAGAACACAAGTGAGAGGTCAGACAAGGAGACACGCACTCATTGAATAAAGGACATACATTCAGTTTTGAAGCTACTAAGATTGTCAGACGAGCAGGTACAAAAACAGCCAGGGAAGGGGTTGAAGCCTGGGAAACAGGCCTCTCATCAGTCAACAGGAGGGCTGATTTAACCCCAGCCTATCAAGTACTTAGAAGGTGAGGGCTGGGCAGCACAAGCAAACGACGACTCCAAAGCCAGCCATCAACACACCCCAATCAACATCTGAAAAGCCACTTACGACAGGCATTATAAATAACTTGCACACAAAAGAACAGCACACACTCGGCTAGAGAGAAGTTCCCTGAAGATGGGCTCCAGCCAGGAGTCCAAAAGCTGAGAAGTCAAAAGGTCCCGGTGACCAACCCAGCTTGGATCCTTGATAAGCTTCGCCTGCTGATTCTTGTAAATCAGGCAGCAAAATTATTTCTCGGAAATCATTAAAAAAATCCGCTTTACTCGGACCAACCTAAAGAAGCTGGTGGAATTTAGTTGAGCCTGGCTTGCTGCTTTCACTTAGCAATGGTGTGATAACAACTCTGGCCATCCCATTAAGTGACCCATTCTTTTATGCCAAGCCCTTTTGGAAAAGGAAGCGCTTTCCTCTCCCCCCTCCCTCATTTTTAGCTACAATCATTTGTTGGCAATCGCTCCTCCATCAACATTGAGCCTGTTTTGGTACCGACATAGGCACGAAACAGAGAAACCTTGCTAGTAGTAATAATAATACGTCATCGTGTATAACTTCCGTGGAGTCCACCCCCAAGCAACAGAGAGATTCAGGGTGCCTGAAAGACTTCCAAATTTATTCTCCGGGACAAATTGACATGAATATGCTCGCACCGATTAGCTGGCTTGGGAAAACTCATACAGTCATAAATGTGTTAAAGTCTTTAAGATGCCACATAGTTCTTGGCTGTTTGGTGAGTCGTCTGTGAATTTTTAATCCGTATAATTGTCCTCACTGGAAATGCAAAAAAGAAAGAGAAGGGGCTAGAGGAAAAACCACGGAATCGGGTCCCTGGTGCCCAAAAGCTTGGAAGTCGCTATGCTGCAGGGCCATCTCCTTTCTTTTAGTACCATGTTTGCCACTTGCATCAGGAAAGGGATATTTTACGCCCCGCTGCATTTTGTCCTTTGAATTCTCCTACATTAGGTCATGTCCTACCCGGACTAGCAATATGCATTAGCATTTCAGCTCGAGTACGTGGCCAACGAAAACTTTATTCTCCTCCGTTGCAACTTCCCCTTCCTTGAGTTTCTCCTTCTCCCTCTTCCATTCTAGTCTTTTGACATCTGCGGCCGTGTGGGAAGTGTGACCCGGGCAGTCAGAGTCCTCTGTGCTCCACAGGTGGGTAAGCAGCTGTTCGCCGTTCTAAACTGGAGGTAACTCTACCTCTTTGGCACCTGGACAGAAAGTTGTTGTTCTTGTGTTAACGGAGAGGTTGGCTTGGGAAACTTAGCCCTCCTGATTTCTATGGGGAGTTTGGGACCATGCCCTCACCTCCGACCGGTAAGGAAGGGCTGAGTGTGGAATTTGCCGCCAGCCATTTTGATCATAATAATTGTTTTTGAGGATTTGAAAGAGGGAGGGACAGGTTTGAGGGGATCAGCTCCCAGTGGCTGCTAATATTATGATTTTCTATTCTTTCCTGAAATGAAGGAAGCTGTCAATGCTGCTAACGTCGGATGTTTTTGCATTGACAACAGATGGAAATGTAGCCATCTTTTACCTTTTGCTTTTAGAGTTAGATGATTCTAGGAGGAGGGACAGAACAACACCAAACCTAGCGTGAGAAACAAGGTTATTGTAACCAGAGCTGATAAGGTATTGAACTGCTGTGTTGGGGATCCAGCACAGGGGTGTCTGGATCTGCCATTCCTGACCTACAAAGATCATATAGCCCATGGTTTTTCTTCTGTCCATCAGCCAGAGTCTCCTATCAAGGCACCCGTGTTGGTGCCCATCTCCACGTCTTCCTCTAGCGACGTCTCCTCTTAACTCTGAGCTTTCTTCCCTTCGACAGAGCTACGGGGTCCGTGCGACCAACCAGCAGTGCAGCGAGGCGGGAGACATCTGTGCCATCTGCCAGGCTGAATTCAGAGACGCGGTGATGCTCTTATGCCAGGTAACTATAAGGGTTGGTTGTTCATTCTGGTTTCTGGAGAAGCCCAAGACAATCGGGACCAATGAAACTCTGATCACAGTAGTCATGGGGAAGGAGGATAGAGCAGGTGAATTGGGGAGGGGGCAAAATATGGGCAAAAGGGTAAATAATGTGGGCTTCCATAGTTTTTTTTTAAAGGGAGGTCTTCTTCAGATCCAGCTCAGCTGACAATTTCATGGAAGATCCACACATGTTCTGTTTGGTAACGATAAGGAAGCCAACAAAGAACGGCTGCAGGACTTGGGTTTGGCTAGTCCAGAGGTAGGCAACCTTGGCTCTTTTATGACTCGTGGACTTCAACTCCCAGAATTCCTGAGCCAGCCATGCTGAGGAGAAATGGAGAGGTTTCCATGCTGAGCCATGCTGGCTCAGGAATTCTGGGAGTTGAAGTCCACGAGTCATAAAAGAGCCAAGGTTGCCTACGCCTGGGCTAGTCTAAAGAAAAGAAGAAATAGGGGAGACATGATAGCAGCGTTCCAGTATCTGAGGGGCTGCCAACAAGAAGAGGGGGGTCACATTATTCACCAAAGCACCAGAGGGCAGGACGAGAAACAATGGTTGGAAACTGATCAAAGACAGAAGCAACCTAGAACTAAGGAGAAACTTCCTGACAGTGAGGACAATTAACCAGTGGAACGACCTGTCTCCAGAAATCATGGGTTCATTGTCGGTTTTTAAGAAGAGGCTAGACCAGGGGTGTCAAACTGCCGGCCCGTGGGCCGGATGCGTCACGTGGAAGCCGCGCCCACCCCATTGCTGGCAATGGCAAAACCGGCCCGATACGTTGCGCGACGTCACGAGTTTGACATGCCTGGGCTAGACAGTCACTTGTCTGAGATGGGATAGGTCCTCCTGCTTGAGCAGGGGGCTGGACTAGAAGACCTCCAAGGTCCCTTCCAGCTCTAGTCTATTCTATTGGCCATTGCAGCCATCTGCTTCAACTTACTGGTTTAGCCTGGGATCCTCTGTTGACGTCTCCTGTCCTGTCTTGTCCTGTCCTGTCCTACCCACGTGTTCCTTTTTTTATCTTGGCAGCACGTTTTCTGTGAAGAGTGCCTCTGCCTTTGGTTTGACCGGGAGAAGACCTGTCCACTCTGCCGTTCTCTCGCTGTGGAAACCCTGCGGTGTTGGAAGGACGGTACCACTTCTGCTCATTTCCAGGTGTATTGACTTGCGGGATACCCCAAGAAATGTTTGCTGAGAAGACACCCTAGGGAGGAAGGGTAAGAGGGAGCATTCTCCAGAATATCTCTGTGGAATCGCTGCTGTAGCTTCCCCTTCCTGCATGAGGCAAGTTGCTAGTTCTTCATCTTCTCTCTGGAGCATCAGTAATTGGTGGAAACTTGAATGTTGACGTCCTTTTGGCCCTTCCTTGCTGGTCGGACTGCTTTACTCCAAAACAACTGGGTACTTATTTGAGATCCTGATCTATCACCAGGAGCCCTGGGGGCGCAGTGGTGTAAAGTGCAGCATTGCAGGCAAACTCTGCCCACAGTCAGGAGTTCGATCCTGACCGGCTGAAGGCTGTACCCAGCCTTCCATCCTTCCGAGGTCGGTGAAATGAGGACCCAGATTGTTGGGGGCAAAATTGCTGACTTTGTAAACCACTTAAGAGAGGGCTGTGAAGCATGAAGCGGTATATAAGTCTTAAGTGTTATTGCGATCTTCCTTCCTTCCCCTTCTCCTTCCTTCTTTCCTTCCTCCCTCCCTCCCTCCCTTCACAGTGGTTAGAATGCAGCATTGCAGGCTGACTCTGCCCCTGTCAGGAGTTCAATCCTGACCGGCTCAAGGTTGATTCAGCCTTCCATCCTTCTGAGGTTGGTAAAATGAGGACCCAGGTTGTTGGGGACCATATGCTGACATTGTAAACCACCCAGAGAGTGTTCTAAAGCACCATGAGGTGTATATAAGTCTAAATGCTATTGTTATCTCTTATATAACTTTTGAGAAATATAGGGATGGGGAAAGAGAATCACAAAGGTAGGTAATTAACTGATGGAACTCATAATGACAAGGTGTGGAATTGGGCCAGCTTCACAAATACCTCCACCACTGGCTACTAATTGTGAGGTCTAAATAGACCCTCTATATCTAGAGGCATTTAGTCATTGGAGACAGCAATAGGAGAGGACCACTGTCTTCAAGGCCTAAGCGTATCCACATCTGGTCAGCCTCTTTTGGAAACAATAGATGTCAATGAATTTCATCTCTAATCCAGCAGGATCATTTGGATGTTGTGAGAGAAATTTTGATTTCCTTTCGTCCAGATGAGCTGCTCTCAAAAGATGGTCATAAGTGATTGATGTCATCCCTTTGTTTGTATGCGATGGTCTGAGAATACAGCATCTGCCCTGGTTCCTCTGGGTTTTGTTGGGCAGAATATTTGTTTCATTGTGTTTCACATCTAACTGCTAATAAAACTTCATTTACCCAGGTGTATTGAAAACAAGTCAACTGTGCACAACCCCATTCATAGTCTGAAGAAAGCTAAGAAGAAGAAATTAATTTGCATGGTTTGGTTGGATGTGGTCTCCTGGATTTGCAATTTCCTGCGCATCAAATGATGGCAGGATGGTTTTGGAGATGGTTTGGAGAAAGCTAAATTCAAAGGCCACTTTTTAAAAAAAGACCAGGCTGAGGAAACGATTGATGTAAAGAATTGCAAAATATAAGAGTTTTAATCTTGGCTGCACACAATGGGCCCGTGATGTCCTAACTTATGAAACATTTGAACACAAAGGCAAGATTTGTCTGGTTTTATGTGGGGTCCTTGGTGCTCTCTGAGCTTGGTTCTTTTCTTGCAGATGTTTCATGACCCAAGTAGGTAACATCATCAGTGCTAGAAGGGAGTGGGGTTTGCAGAGGGGAGGAGGAGGAGGAGGAGGAGGAGGAGGAGGAGGAGGAGGAGGACTGTGGGGTCCTTAGTGCTGAGTTTGGTGGTTTTCTTGCAGGCGTTACATTACTCAACTAGGTAACGTTATCAGTGCTAGAAGAGAGAGTGGTTTGCTCTCATTGTCTGGTTTTAGTTTGGCACGCTATGGAAACATCCACTATTGTGATGTGCACACCAGGCAACACCTTAACTCAGTGTGTGAACGTGGCCCATCTTGATTTATTCCACATTAGGCAAATCATGTCTTTCTGTGACGTGGTGGCTCAGCTTTTACTTGAGGGAGCAATCTTTAAAGCAGGGGAAATCTTGCGAAGAGTTTCCTTCGTGGAGATGGTGAAGACCCCCAGGAGTTATCTCTTTGGACAATCTCATGTGCTAAATCGGATTCCCGTTGGGGAACACATTGTCCATCAATTTTCTGGATGGGGACACATAGCAGGGACCTTGTCTGGCATGCTTGGTTCTAACTGTTCACACGTGATCTTTTCACGCTCTGCTTTGTTTTGAATGAAGAGCACTCCTCTTTGGCCTTTCTCACACTACTAACCCAAGTGTGGTGTACGTAACTGCAGCTAGAACACAATTGCGAGTATGGAGTCAAAATTTCCAGAATCCACGACAAATACCCCTTAAGTCCCCCTTTCTTGGTGTCTCTCCAAGCTGTCATAACTTTACGTTTTGCTCTTCTTGTTGAATTAAGACTGAGAAAGTGATTTTGAACCAATTCTGATTCTATTATTATTATGGATCATCGCAGTCAGCCAGATGTTCAGACTGGATTTGGCATTTTGTCTACCTATCGAGTCCTTACCAAGGACCTGGGATAGGCAGATGTGGATTACTACTACTACTACTACTACTACTACTACTACTACTACTACTACTAATCATCGCAGTCAGCCAGATGTTCAGACTGGGTTTGGGATGTTTGTCTACCTATCGAGTCCTTACCAAGGACCTGGGATAGGCAGATGTGGATGTTTGATGGTATTACAGATCTCATCACAGGATGGAAGCGGTTCCTAGTAAGGCCGCCTTTTGCAATTGACTGATGGCAAATTTGTCAATGCCGATGATGGTGTCCAAGTGGTGCTCCAGTTGTTTTGGGATTGCACCCAAGGTGCCTATTACTATTGGTACTACCCTTGCTTGCCTTTGCCACAGTCGTTCTATTTCTGTTTGTAGGTCTTTGTATTTCTCCTCAGTTGCTTCTCTCCTTGATTAGTTTCCATCCGTTGCTTCTTGTCCTGCCTTCAGGTGCTTTGGAGAAGAGCTTGACTGCCTCTTCTTTGAGGCCACCCCTCAAATATTAGAACCCTGCTATCATGTTGCCCCCGGTCCTTCTCTTCATTAAACTAGACCTACCCAGTTCCTCAATGACATGATTATCACCCAGTTCATCCCATGATTATGGGGATGGCGGTTGTAAGTGTGAGGATTGGTTTCAGTGCTGTTGTACCTTCAAACAGTCGCTAAATGAATGGGTTGTAAGTCAAGGATTTGTATTTCTGCTGTGAGGATGATGATCGCGTCAATGACCACCAAAGTTGTTACGCTTCGCCCTAGTTTAGCTTGCAAGATTATTGTGTGTAGCCTTGGGTGTGTAATGAGTGAATTCAGTATGGACCAACATCTAATTTCATAGAAATGTAAACACAGCGCTTCCCATTCCCTTCCACAAAGGTTTCATTTGTACAAAATCCCATCTTTTCGGCCCGCTCCCTCCGAAGGTTCTGAAGAATGACGGACAGAGAATCAAAATAAATAAATAAAGCAACAACTGGGATCCTTTTCTTATTCTTATTTTTTTTTTAATAAAGTCAATATAAATATGTACAAAGTCTCCAGCATAGGAAATTCCTTTTACAAAAGGGGGGAAGGATAAAAGCCCTGTCGAACCGCAGATGAAATTTCGAAACGGATTCCATTTCATCTGCGAGATACCTCAATGAGATTTGAAAGGGATTCTAAATTCGAAGTCTTTCCCATCTTGGAAAGATCATACAGCTGCCTTTGAATCTCTGGTTGGCTGTTTGGCAGCAGTTCCTTATATTTCTGGTGTAGAAGCCATTTCTACCTAAGGAATTTTTGAAAACTCTTCCGTAGCTTCTTGCAGCCGAAAATTTTACACCCCCCCCCCCCATTCCCTGCGTATTTATTTGAAATATTTAGTTCTTGCTTGTTCGGCGTGTGTTCCTGCTAACTTTTAACTTGGAGAGAAAACCATCCTCATGTCATGGCATTAAAAATAGGAGGGAATGAATATTAATGTGGAATGGCTTCATTTCACATTAACAAAACACCGACAGACGAGAATTTTTGTAGCTCAGGATTGAAATGTGGGATCCTTGGTGCTCTATGAGCTTGGTGGTTTTCTTGCAGACATTTCATGACCCAACTAGGTAACACCATCAGGGCTAGCAGGGAATGGAGATTGCTTTCACTTTCATTTTCATTTTATATAAAGCTCACTAGTTTGTCTACTCACCAGTTGATAAAAATGACAGCAAACGCTGCTCCCTTCTAGCACTGATGATGTTACCTAGTTAGGTAATGAAACGTCTGCAAGAAAACAACCAAGCTCAGACAGCACCAAGGATCCCCCCAGTCCTCCTCCTCTTCCTCCTCCCAATCCTCTTAGTTTTTCCTCCTCCTCCTCTCCACAAACCCCTCTCCCTTCTGCCACTGATGATGTTACCTAGTTAGGCAATGAAACGTCTGCAAGCAAACCACCAAGCTCAGAGAGCACCATGGTCCCCAACGTTAATGAAATGGCCTGGTGAAACAAATTTATCTATGGTGGAAATGAGATTTAGAAACTCAAGCTTTATCTCTTCAAACCGTGTGTTTTCTGCTTTTACCCACCAAAACCTGTCCCGTAAAACGGGGAGAGGCCGATTGGCGGATTTTAATCAAGAGATTCCAGAATGGAAGAGAGGATTTGATCTATTTAAGGAAGACCAGGAAGGGACAGAGAGTCAAACAGCTGAAGGTTCTGCCCCTGTTGTAAAATTAGTTTGAACCGTTGGATGAAACTAACAAATCAAATGAAGGAGCAGGGCAGGCCAAGTTAGAATTGCCTGACAATTGTGAGCATTGCTAAACTAGTTAACTCGTAAAGTGAGCTGTCTTTGTGGGGGCAGAAGGAATATACATTGCAAGGTGTGAATGATTTTTGCATGTTAAATCCATTTCAGACGGGCGTTTCCGTGTGTTTGGTTTTGTCTTGTAAGACTTTTGCGATTCTTTACTCTTTGGAATCACGAAGGGGTGTTTTTACTGTGTGAGGAAGGAAGAAA